TATATATATATATATATATATATATATATATATATATATATATATTAGGCGTTTTTAAACCCTTCCACACTCTTGCAATATTTTAAACAGACCACAGCATGTCATGATTGCAGCTTCCTGCCTCCTCTGATGTTTGCCACCAGCAAGCGCTCTTGACCACGCCCACTTCCCCGCTCTGCACAGAGATCAGCTGATTAGCTGCAGGAGGAAGCTTATCCTACAGCGTGGGCCACACAGAGGTGCAGGAGGAAGCTTTTTCTGCAGGTGTGGACTGCACTAATGTGCAGCACGTGCTAAATAATTTTAAATTTATTTTAAATAAAAATTCCATGCCGATCGTGCAGCTCATCCATCAATCAGCCAATTGTGCGTCATGTCCACTCTTATTTTGAAAAACCGTGATAGAGCGAGTCCACGATGAATGAACTGCAAAGTAGCGAGGGACCATTAGTTCTGTAGGCAGGGTGTCAAACTCAGCTGCTGTTTTGGTGTCAGAGATGTGTAGCTCCGGTGATCAGGATCAAAAGTGACTCTCTTTTTGTTTTATTAGGGAAACGTGGGAAAAGTATTCGCACCAAGACGAGCTGGATGACTCCGGTGGAGTTTATGAATGAAGGATTAGGTCATAGAAACGGCACCTGGAGGAAGGACATTGAGAATAATGGAAAAGCGCTTGGTTTTCTCCTGGAGGTAAATGTGGTCGGGGGTGTCTGAAACCACATCTGTTGTCATCACTAAAAGCTGATTGTTTGTTTGTTTTTTAGCTTCATGAACTGAATGTGTATAACTTTGGCCACATCTCATTTATGTTCACATTTGGATCTTTTGCTTTTCTGAAACACAGAATAATTTACCAACATATCAGAGTGTCATAGCCGGTAATGTAAAGAGAGAATCCAACCATTAGTAGTACAAAAACATTTACCTGGGATTTACCTGTCTAAGTAAAGGTTGAATGAATGAATTTCATGTGCTCAGGCAGGATTATAAATTATTTTTTTGTCTTTTGCTATTTATTCATGCCAGCTCATGTTGACACTAACATGACAAATGGGGAAATTATTCAACCAGTGAAGTTGTATCATGAAACCTGTCAAAGTGATTTTGATTTAAAGTGTAAAAGGTTTTTTAAAATGAGGTTGCAGGAACTTTTCAGCCAACAGTGTTAAATTATGAAACAGAGAGGAATGATGTTCATCCCTCTCTTTCAGGAAAATGGCCTGGTGATCCATTCAGAGCAGTGCCTTTGCAGTCTGTGTGAATCAGACCAAGAAGCCATGGTACGGTTGTCAGTACGTGAAAAACATGTCCTCATCCAGCATTTTGTTTGAAAAATTACATTTTATTCATGTCCTGATACATGCTCAATAATTCAGGTAGATGATTCTAACAAGGTCGAGTCAGGTCCTCTGGATAGATTTTGTTGAAACGTTTCGTCTTATGCAAAAGATGAAGAAGACTGAAGAAGTCTTTTGGATATAAAACAAAACGTTTCAGCAAAGAAAACCCATTAGATACATTTTATTTAGTTTTTGATTGCAAACTGTGCCTTTGTGCATACAAACCTTTTTTTTTAATTTCAGTGAATGAGTATATGAATCTGGGTTTTCATAAACTATGAATCATGACGCCATTGTGTTGCATTTGAATATGACCGCTGGCGTGGCTCGTTTGTCTTGACAGAAGAATCAGCGAAATGATTATGAATGCTCCATCTGTAAAGTTAAAGGAAAAGAAGACGTGAAAGTGTGTCATTACTGTCCAAGGTCGTTCCACAAGAATTGCCACGTGCCTTGTATAGAAGACAACGTTACAGAGTGAGTATGATGAGTGTACAAGTGTGCACATCTTTCATGGTGTACTCAAAAAGAGCCACACTCCATGGCAGGAGAAGAGTTTTAACTGGTGTTTCCTTGTGAGGTCAGATTTTCAGGACAGGTTACACTGTATACATGAAGTGCATATGAAGACCAGTCATCTGGCCGGAGCTGCCTTCTCAGCTTGTTTTTATACTTTTATCAGTTCAGCCGAGTTCACAGAACTTGGAGGCGTCCTTGGAGCCAGCTGCACGCTGCAGCCTCACTCAGCTCCTCATCCAGCTCTCTCTGCTAACTCAAACATGTGTTTCATGGGCAGAGTTAAGGTTCTCAACCATAGTAATAAAAACATGCATAGCTTTTGACCAAAAATTCCCTAAAACACGGTCACAATTTTGGATTTAGTGCATCCATTTAATTGAGCAAGTTCTTGAAAATGTTTGACATTTATTGAGCAAGTTCTTGAAAATGTTTGACATTTGCTCCTGGAATGCTGTAGCTTTTGTCTTCTCTGGTGCAGTTTGCCCACATTAAAAGTAAAGAGTTTATATATGTATTTTGAGAATGTGTTTATTTATGTCTATTTAAATAACTGACAGTGTCCAGCGCCGTTTGCGGTTAACATCAGATCTTTACCATCTCCTGAAAGCTGGGGTAATGTCAGCTCAGGGGAAGAACAGAGGAAGTTTGTCAATCTGCTGCCCTTTCACCTTCACAAAAAGAAGGCAGACATGTCAGGAAGGGTTAATAGTGTGAATGTTTATGAACCTTCACACTATCGAGATCCATTTTTCTTCCATACGTTTGTTTTTTAGCATCTTTCTTGTTCCACAATTTTTGTGCTATTTCAACAAATCAACTTTCAAAACGTTCAGCTGTTTCAGGACAACCCTGCTATGACTTTAGGTATTGGTGCAACTTCAGCTTTTTGAATTATTTAGCCTTTTCTGCCACTTTTTTCTCATAGAAAATGAATTGAGCTCATTTTACATCCTTCAAATCTTATGATCTGTTTACAACCTTTTACTGTTCTGGTTCAGCTTCTTTCAACTTCCATGTGCAAATTTAAACTTTTTTTCAGATACTTTTCAGCTAATTTCAGCTGTTTTTCTTAAAAATCCTTTTAGATTCTTTCAGCTAACTACAACATTTTTGTGCTTCTTTTAACTTCTTTCTGCTAAATTCAACTTTTTGTGTTCTTTTCAGCTTTCTCTGCTATTTCAGCTACTATTTAGCTTTTTATGCTAATTTTAGCTTTCCCAGCTAATTCGAAAGTTACGCATGTAACTACAGTTCTATGAATCCTGGATGACCGAAAGAGGGTGGCGCTGAAAGCACTGAATTTTCCCTTCACGCATGCGCCGTTCGAGTAGTAATTCCAGCGGAGTCACAGGTGTGACACGGATGACCAATAAGAGGCTATATAGCCTGACATAATCCGCATCATCTTTGGATCTCCCCTCTGCTCCTACAGAATCTTCTTGCGGAATGCAAGGATTCTGAGTGACAGAGAAGCTCTTGCGATCATCCGGGTTTCATAGAACCGTAGTTACATATGTAACTTTCATTCTATTTCATCCCTACTGACCGCCAGAGGGTAGGAATGTGTGATATGGCATAAAATTCATATCACGATATGTATTGTGAAGGGTGGCAATAACGATATATATCACAATATGTTTTAGGTATAAAACATGCAATAGGAATGGGGAAAAAAGCATAGGGTGTCTTTTGGCCATAATTTATTTTAAATTAAGAAAATTCCACTACTAGGTCCAGAGAGTTTTTAAATAATAAACAAATCAAGTATTAGGCTTCTTTCTTGTAGTGCAAAACAGTGCAAAATATATCAAATGTAGTTTTAGCCATATGTTTTAAACAAAATAATATGTTAACTCTTAACAGTTTCCAGTGTTCTCACTTAAGAAATGAACAGCAACAGAGCAGGATTTTACACTGAAACACTTCACCCTCCAATCCTCTAGTTGGCGCCTCCTTCCGCTTTAAGGAGAGTCGACACAAAATGATTCTGTGGCCAGAGGGTCTCGCAGTAAAATCACACAACACAGCGTTCTTTTCACAGATCAGAGAGCAGGTTTCTCTAAAGCTGACCAGCGCTTACTTTAATTTTTGATGGGAAAAAAAATACTTTCGATGGAACACAACGTTTTGCACATGCGTCCGAATACGGCAACACTACGGCAAGCTGGCCGTAGTTAGCTTGTAGCTTCACTACTTAGTTCTCGAAGAAAAGACTTTAACACCACTTACGCACAGTTTTCAACTAAAAAAAGTAACGATTAAACTGACAACTCTGATTTTACATCAGACACAGCATTACTGCGGTTAGCCGGTAGAAGACCAATCTCTATCGTAGGCTAAATTTCTATAGTTTCTACCGTGTACCGTATATACCGTGCATTCCTACCAGAGGGCAGTGCTGAAAGCACTGAATGACTAATACCAGCAATGTCACAAGGAATCTTGAGCACATACTTCACCGAGGAGGCCCAGAGGACCCTTGCAGAAGAGCCTGGCCCAAGGGTTGAGGGGTGGCCACGTTAACGCTGTAACATCTGGTAAACATGCTTGGGAACGCCCATGATGCTGCAGCACATATTGCTTCCTGCGGAACCCCTCTTAGGGCCGCCCAGAAAGCAGAGACGCTCCTGGTAGAGTGTGCCTTCATGCCGACCAGCGGGGGGTCATGCCCTGTGGCATAGGCATGGCAGATAACATCCACGATCCAGTGGGAGTGGTGCTGTTTGGAAAGAGGACAGCCTAACCTAGGGCCTCTGTAACAAACAAACAGCTGGTCTGAACATCGTATAGCAGCGGTAGCTGCAATGTATGCCTCCAGTGCTCTCACTGAGCACAACAACCCAGACCCATCCCCTCCTATGTGTGTGTGTGTGTGTGTGTGTGTGGAGGGGGGGGGGGGTATGTTTCTCCCTCAGGTACTCCTTCCATGGAGAGACGGAAAAAAGAGGAGGGCCCTGCCCGCACGCCTTAAGAAGGCACTTTCAGGAGTGGACTCCTCTGGTTGCGGGACGTCTAGCTGCAGCTGTCTCAGGACCATACACATGATGTCCTTCATCGAACCGTCACCTGACCCACTAGCTGCACTCCGAGATGAAGAAATTGAATCAATCTCTGAGGCCTGAGATGACTGCCCTTCTTCCTCACCTAAAAAAATGAGAGGCAGAGGCAGCCAAGGGTAATACATCCTCTTCCACAGCCAGCTCAGGCATGAGTGAGGAGTAGAGTCTAGGCGCTGCCACTGGCTCAGCCCCCAGTTGGCATGCCTGATAAAAGGACTTCAACGCCACCAATTCTGTGGACAACAGCTCCACCCTCATGGAGAGGTCCTGATCATACTTGGCTTGTCTCTTCCTATGAGAGGCCACAGAGACTGTGAGACTGCGACCACAGAGACTGCGGCCTCAGTCCGGCACTTGGAGCACCTAGGTGGTGCCTCCTGCCCAGAAGGCAGGAGGTCCCTGCTGAGCTCGGGGGCAAAACTGGGCTAGCCGAACCACTTTCATGGCATGAAGCTGAAGTTCATGCAGGGGTTCTCTGACAGAGCCTCCACCAGATGGTCATGCCCAAGGCAAGCAGGACACAGGTCGTGACCATCACCTGCCTGGAGCACGGCCCTACAATCGGTGCAGCAGTGAGAGCCATCCATGCTCCTTACTTCAGGCAGCCCTTTTCAGGATAGGAGGCCGATGCAGTCAGCTCAGTCCAGTCTAGGATGAAAGGATAGGCCGAGAATTGGGAGGGGGGACGTGCACGCTTGCCGTCACCAATTAACAAGGCATAGAAACTCAGACAAGCTGCCAGAACTCAGACAGGCTAACACTGCTAGCTCAGCTTGTTAAAAGAGGACAATTACCATACCATACCATACCACTTTATTTATAAAGCACTTAAAACAGCAACAAGGCCAACCAAAGTGCTGTACAGGCAAAACAACAGGTAACACACAAAGCAAAATACAAAATGAGGTAAATCAGAATATAGACAAAAACCGATGCAGATAATGATGACAAACCAGTGTAGAGCATACAGGATCAAAACACAGATCATCTTGTGTTGAAAGCTATTGAATAGTAGTGAGTTTTTAAACGGGACTTGAAAACCGAGAGGGAGGGGGCCTGTCTGACAAGCAGAGGTAACTCGTTCCAGAGTCTTGGTCCTGCTACAGAGAAGGCCCTGTCACCTCTGCGCTTAAGACGAGTTCCTGGAACTGTGAGGAGCAACTGGTCCGCTGACCTCGGGGAGCGTGGTGGGACATACGGTTGTAGCAAATCAGAGAGATGGGGGGGCGACACTGTTCAGTGATTTGTAGACATACATGAGTATTTTGAACTGGATTCGAAAGTGAACCGGTAACCAGTGCAGTGAGGCCAAAACTGGTGTAATGTGCTCTCTTTTGCCTGTACTGGTTAAAAATCGGGCTGCTGCATTCTGGACAAGTTATAGTTGTGCTATGGAGGTCTGACTGATACCAAACAGGAGTGAATTGCAGTAATCTAGCCTAGATGTAATGAATGCATGTATTACTGTCTCCAGGTTCTTTTTGGACAATATGGGCTTCAGTTTAGACAGCCGCCTCAGTTGGAAGAAGCATGATTTAACAATCATGTTTACATGATTGTTAAGTTTCAGAGAAGGGTCCATTATCACGCCCAGATTAGTGACTCTGTTTTTCTGACAGGGTTAGAGCGAAAAGGTCGATGCAGTGGTTTGTGATCGTGTCGTTGGGAGGGAACAACATGACTTCAGACTTCTTTTCATTGAAACTTAAGAAATTTAAAGCCATCCTGTCCCTGATGTCAGCCAGGCAGTTGAGCAGCGGTTGAATAGAGCATGTACCATTGTGTCTTAGGGGGAAGTAAATTTGACAGTCATCGGCATAGAAGTGGAAGGGCATGTTGTGTTTCCGGAAAATAGCACCAAGCGGCAGCAGGTATAAAGAGAATAGGAGGGGACCCAGTATGGACCCCTGCGGAACCCCCCATTTAAGCTCTGCCTCTGCGGAACTAAAATCCTTGATGGATACACAAAAGGATCTGTCAGTGAGGTAAGATCTGAACCAATTGAGGGCTGATCCTGTGACGCCCACCCACTGATCCAACCTAGCAATGAGGATCTCCTGGCCGATGGTGTCAAAGGCAGCTGTGAGGTCCAACAGGACAAGCAGCACAGAATCACCGGTATCTGTGAATCTGAAGATGTCATTAAAGACCTTCAGCAGGGCAGTTTCAGTGCTGTGGAGAGGTTTAAAGCCAGATTGAAAAAGCTCTAAGATGGCGTGATCCTCCAGGAAGCACTTCACCTGGGACTCGACTATTTTCTCCAGTAGTTTAGAAACAAATGGGAATTTGGAGACAGGCCGGAAGTTGGAAATGAGTGAGGGGTCAAGGTTTGGTTTTTTTCAGGAGAGGCTGGACGGCAGCATGTTTAAAGGTTTTTGGCACCACACCAGTGGATAAACTACTGTTTACTATGGCAAGAATGGACGGACCTAGAGTAGGAAAAGCCTCCTTTAGTAGTCGAGGGGGGGACCGCATCAAAGGGGGAACCAGACGGTTTCAAGCTGCACATGACCTGCTCTAGAGAAGATAGTGATGGGTTCAAAATGGTCAAAAGGAGCTACAGATTGAGGTGGGATGGATGGGTCATGATTTGGAGGGGAAATGAGAGCCCTGGTGGTCGCAATTTTTTCCACAAAGAAATGTAGGAAGTTGTAGCACAGCTCAGTCGAGGCTTCCAGAGGTGATGGTTCAGTGAGGTGGAGAACAGAGTTTAGGGTGGAGAAGAGGACACGTGGGTTGTGAGAGTTTGAGGTAATTATATCAGAGAAGAATTTTGATTTAGCAGCTTTTACTATTTCCTGATAACAGCACCAGCTCTCTTTAAGTATCTGGAAAGAGACCTGCAGCCTATCTTTCCTCAACTTTCGCTCCGCCCTCCTACATTGCTGCCTCGCGGCCTTGGTGACGTCACTCAGCCAAGGTTCTGCTCTGAGTTTTGATTTTTTGGTTTTAACAGGTGCAACATGATCCATAGTCTTTAAGCAGACAGAGTTGAACTGGGATGTCAGCTCCTCAATGGTGGTGAGAAACACTGGGGGCTGAATGATCATTTCAGAGTTATAAACATCTGTGAAACGTGTGGCAGTGAAGTGGTTAATGGTCCGGGTGCGACGTGCAGGAATGCACGGCTTAGGAGTTAGATGGGGGAGGGTGAACTCAAACTGGACTGGCATGTGGTCTGAAAAAACATTATCACCAATAACAAGATTATTAACAGTCATATCATAAGTTAAAACAAGGTCCAGTGTATGTCCACGCTCTTGGGTGGGACCGTTTACATGCCGAGTTATTGGAAGCAATTGGGAGAGGGGGCACGAATGCTTGCCTTAACTAATAAAAACAAGGTCAGAACGTAGGGAGGCTAATACCGCTATCTCGGTCCAACCATTTTATAAGGTTGGTGAGAATGATTGGGAGAGGGTGTGCGAATGCTTGTCTTCACCAATTAAAAACAAGATCAGAACTCAGAAAGGCTAGCATTGCTAGTTCAGTCCAACCGTCTATGAGGTTGGTGAAAACAATTGGGAGAGGGTGCGCAAACGTTTGCCTTCACCAATCAAAACTAGGCTAGGAATTCAGCTGTCTACATAAGCAACAACAAACTTTGTAGCACAATACCAACTGACCATGTGGTTGGAAGCCTCCAACAAACGGGAGCGAAGCAGACCTCCAGCCAACGGGCAGTCGGGCCTCCAACAACAGTGAAAAAGTTCAAGGTCCAAAGGGCTGACGCCATGAAATAAACCAGGCGCAAGAAGAAAAAGGGAGCAGAGCCACGGATTACGTCAGGCTATATATTCTCTGGTTGGTCACCCATGTCACACCTGTGACTGTTGGAATTACTACTCCAACGGCACTTGCACAAAGGAAACATTCAGCGATTTCTGCGCTGCCCTCTCGCGGTCAGTAAGGATGAAATAGAACATTTTTGCACTCACTTTAACTTTTTTAGGCCTAATTCAGCAAAAATGTACTCTCTTTACTTCCTTCTGGTAAATCAAGCTTCTTTCTGATTTTTTTAGCTACTTTTCAGCTGCTTTTGTGTGTGCAAATTTCAGCTTTTTTTTTTCAGACAATTGCCACCTTTTTGTGCTCATTTCTGCTTCTTTCTGCCTAATTGGGCAAATGTGTTCGTTCAACAATTTCCTGCGGGATCAATAAAGTTTTATCTTATCTTTCTGCTTTTGAATGCCAATTTAAGTGTCTTCTACCTTTTCAGCTACCTTTTTAGCATTTTTAGCTAATATCAGCTGTTTTCTGATAAATTCAAGTTTGTTGTGGTAATTTCTGCTACTTTCAGTCTAATTAACTTCTTTCTGCTCATTTAAGCTTGTTCAAATTATTTCTGCTACTTTCAGCTTTTTCTGCTATTTCAGCTACCATTTAGCTGTTTTATGCAAATTTTATGCTAAATTTAATCCACTTCACCACTTGCTCTTGCCGAGATTGGATGCTTCTCCTCTCCCTCTCTGCTTTGTTTTGCTGTTCTGTCTGTCTGTGAAACTGCTTGTGAGACTCTCTTGCATTTCTTCTGAACCATAATTATGGACTTTTTGATCAGTTGGTCCCTCAACTCAATTTACAACATTTCTTCGAAGAGAAGACAGGCTTTAGGCGAGCCAATTTGTCCTGTTGGCACGCACGCAGCTGGATATCTCATCGACTTGAAGACTTGATGATGTTTCTATCTCTGCTGCCATTTGTGGATTTTAAGGACGCATATTTAATTGGATTCACGATAACTGATTCCTGCTTTTTGGATTCGGCTGGTTGCTGGTTTTATCAATCAATCAAGGAAGTCGTCAGCAGCAAATTAGTACCCGATCACGCTGCTTGCCTTTATGATGGCTTGGTTTGTGTCTTGAGTACCCAGACTCGAATGCTTTGGGCAGAATGGATCAGATCTTGGGGATTTTACTCGGACACGTTCCTTTGGTGTGGCCATGTATTTTGGACATTTCGGAACCGAGTGGACCAACACAGACTCAAGGTAGATGTCATTAAGTTCTGCCTGTCCCCAAAACAACTGTGTGTTTATCTGAATTTGGCTCCCTTGGCTGGCCTTGAAGGACATCTTATCTGAATTTGCCTGAAGAAAATGTGATCTGACGCTCACCACCCCCTCCCTGAGGAATTTCCAACTGATAACCAGATGAATCCAGCTGAATAAACTTTGTGTCATCATTTCAGGACTCTTGGATTCTCATAGACGTTATTCTTGGCCATTCCTCGACATACCTGGAGAATGTTTATGGATCTCATCGGAGGACATTGGCTGATTATTCCATCCTTATCATAACTTTTACATTGCCCCCGAGAGCATCTATGAACATGCTCACCGCTTTCGGCTCCCCCCTCTGCAGAATGTCTATGTCACTATGTGCTTGTTTGTGCGAGGTGTTTTTTTTTAATTTTAGAGGGTTTTTTTCTCAGGCATGAAAAAAAAGTCTGATAGGAATTTTTTTCGCCTCTAACTCCTACATGTGTCCATTTTACCACTTTTTGTCTGTCCAACCAGGTCTCACTTGTAAATGAGTCTTTTAGGCTCAATGTGATTTATCTGTCTAAATAAAGTTTGAATGAATTTATCTTTTTCAGCTAATTCCACATTTTTTGGGCTCGTTTTAGCTTTCTGCTTCCTTCTGGTAGTTTAAGCTTCTTCATGCATTTTCAGCTACTTTTTGCTAATTTAAGCTTTTTTTTTTTTTAGCTCACGTCCTAATTTTTATGCCAGTTTCTGCTTATTTAAATGTAATTCAGCAAATATTTGTTCTTTCTGCTTTCTTCTACTAACTTGGGCTTGTTCTTTCATTTCAGCTGTTTTTCAGCAAGTTCTTCAGCAAAAAGCATTCACACTGAATTTCCACAGGAAATGCAAGTTCTCTAGTTTATCTTCTTCTCCAGTGATCAGTGTTCAGGAGTTGTTTCAGCGCAAGTGCAAACAGTCCTGTTGTTGCTGTTTAACATTTGGGTCACAGAACTTTATGGTCACAGAACATTTGAGCAGACAGAGATTCACACAGAGGTTAACTAATGGAAATAATGGGCACAAAATGTTCTTCTGTTTAAACTAATATTTGTTTGTTTTGTGTGTGCAGGAACGGCAAAGGATGGAAGTGCACGTTCTGTGTTTTTAAAGCCAGCCAGAAGACCGAAGCTGTCATGTCCCGTCAAATATCTCAACACATGCTGGTCAGTGTCCGTCTGTCTTTCTCCGTCTGTTGGGTCTGTCTCTGTCGCTCACCCCTCTTCATTCACTGACAGGAATGCCGCTATCTCCTCATGTTTCTGTGCGGCGCTGACGAGGAGCAAAAGTTTTCCTCCAACCCCAGATTTGATGTAAGTCACTTTTTATTAGAATCTTTCTCATCTAACGTAAAAGCACCTTCCTGTTTGATCCCAGCTTTATGCATGGCTCTATATTTGTAGTGTTAATGTACATGTATTCAACATTTAAGTTTTATGTAGTATACTGGTAATATTGTTTCTATTTATGTTTTATCTAGTCAACTTTGAAAGGATTTTCTGTCATATAGAATAACTAGTAATAGTTGGTGCCTAAACAGAGGTTAGAGAAGGCGAGCCTGTGATTGGGAGATCACAGGTTCGAATCCTCGGACCATAAACAAAAATGTGGGTGGGCAAGGTGAAACACCCACACCTGCTTCCACCCTAATTCACCACACTCTGGGCCCTTGAGCAAGGTCTTATAGAACATTCTCAGCTCAGCAGAGTTCAGCAGAGTTCAGCGGGTGTCCTTGAAGGCAGCTGCAGCCTCCTTACAGCACTTTTTTTGAGCAAACGTATGGTTCATGGGCATCAAAGAGACATCCTTCAGTTCGAGACAAGAGAGTTTTAGGGGACAGTTTGGCTGTTTTGGAGAGAGAACTGAGCTCCTTGTTCTCAGGGTTGAGGGGAAGAAAGTTCTCAGCCACAACAATAAAGCACAATAAAACATTCGTAACCTCTGATCAACAGTTCTCTAACGGTAGCGTTCTTTCAAAATAGTACACCATTTTAGAAAAACATTAGTTTATAATGTGGAAAAACAATATGAAACAGGCCCTCATTTGGCTTGCTATTAGCTTAGCTTGGACAAAAACTGTTTATACTGATATCACAGCTCTAAAGTACAAACTAATTAAAGCTATTTGACAGAAGATCCTTTTGAAAATGATCAGACTGTCTCTTGGTGGAAGAAATAAGCTGTGCTTCACACCAACAGATAGCAAGCTACTCCAGGTTTGTTCAAACTCTCACATGGCTGGACAGCATAGCGAAGAGACTCCAGAGGAACCAGTACCAGGTTGTTGGCGAGTTTGTCTCTGATGTTCTGTACATTCTCGCCGAGTGTGCTAAAATCAACCAGGCAAGAAATCCTTCACTTATATTCTTACTTGTTTTCTTCTTCTTCTTTCAGTTGTTCCCTCTTCAGGGGTCTCCACAGGGAGTCACCCTCCTCCATCTCACTCTGTTCTCACTCCAAATACCTCCATATCCTCCCTAACTGCATCCATACTACATCTCCTCTTTGTCTTTTTTTTACTTGCTTGCGATAGATGAAGTTTTTCCCTAATTACCCATGTCCCAGGAGAAATTTGATAGTCGACTCGTATCTGAGGCCAAAAGTCTGATTCAGATAAGCCACAATTGTTGATTTTCTTCAGGCAGACTGTTTTATTTAATTTCTCGTCAACCTTGAGTCCTGCTGGAACTTTTCCGGTCCAAAATGGCCAGATTTATAGATATTTCACTCCACTGATCCATGTTATGAGCCTCCTCAAGGTCGATCCCAACATGATGGCGAGTCTTAGAAGCCGCAGGTGGCCTGTGATTCTCACAAATCGTCTCCATCTTATGGTTTATCTTGTAAATCAGCTGATTTTGAATCCTCATAGCACGAACCAAACACAGACACAAACTCAGATGGAAGCTTTGCCATGAAAAAACTGCTGCCAATGTCTTCAAGTTAATAAAAAGGCTCCGCCGATGCCAAAGAGCAGAACCCCTGCTATCATAAGTCCAAATATATCAACGTCTTCAGCGTCCTCCTGAGACAGAACTGAGAGACACATCAGCTGCCAAACTCCCCACGAATCTCTGATGTACCCCGCAGCATGAGTCTCAGCCGGACAAGAGGGCTCTCCAGGACCCTGTTGTTTTGATGAAAAGATTTTGTCGATTGCGTTGAAAGTCCAGCTCACCAGATCCATAATAGCGTTTTTCGTTAGGTAGATGTGTACCAGGAGCTCCGAGACACACAGAGAACAGAAGCAGGGGGGAAAGGAGAACAGGGGGAGGGAGAGGACAGCGTCTGTCTTGAGCGAGAGACAGAGGATTTAAAAAAAAAAAAAGAGTGAAGTGCTCTATTGGGAAAATATAGAACAATAGGATCTGTACTATAAGATGGAGCTAGGTTGTTGAGAGCTTTGTAGGTTAAAAGTAAGATTTTGAATTCAATTCTGAAGTTGACAGGGAGCCAATGGAGAGAAGCTAAAACTGGAGAGATATGATCTCTCGTATTAACTCTGGTTAAGACTCTGGCAGCATTCATTCAACCTTTATTTAGACAGGTTAATCCCATTGAGTCTCGGGGACTCGTTTACAAGAGAGACTTGGTTTTAACAAAGATTGATGACAACCGTAGACAATCATAAAAGAAAGCATACAAACTGAGAAGAACAAGTGAAAGAAAATGGTATTTAACAAACAAAACAAAAAGCAGCTAGATTATAAAGTGATGTAGAAAACTAAAAACAGGAACTTAACAGATGTTTGAAGCCACTTAGAGAGGTCAAGGTCGAGAGCTTCAGATCTTTTTGTAAGATATTCCAGGAAACAGGAGCGGAGCAGGAGAAGGTCCTTTTGTCTAGTTCAGTCCTCACTGAGGGAACACTGCAGGTAATAATGTCCTGAGAGCGCACGCTGTAGCTGCACTCACGCAGAGACATGTAGGAGGAGATGTATGAAGGCAGCAGACCAAGAAGTGATTTAAAGATGAAAATGTACCAGTGAGAGAGTCTGTGTGAAGTTAATGATGTCCAGTTAACCAGTGAATACTGGGTGCAGTGGTGGGTACGGTAGTATTTTGGATCAACTGAAGACATTTTAAAGAAGTATTTGGACACGCAGATAATAAACCATTACAATAGTCCAGTCTAGACGTGACAAATGCATGAACCAGTTTTTCTGCATCATTTTCACAGGTATATATTGTTTTTACATAGAAATAGCATCACCATCTGTAGCTTTCTGAGGTTGTTTTTATTAACGGTGAGGATTTCATCCTCACTTCTGCGACCTGTAGTGTATTTTTTTTAATCGCGTGTGCAGTTACGTTAAAAGATGCCACCCATGTAGGATTCTGATCCAGGTATTCTACTGAAGACTCTCCCATTTTTATTCTTATTTTTTAATACAGATCTTAACTTGAGCTGTTTTATATATTTATTTGTGTTTACATTTGTATTTTGTTTTGCAGAACAATGCTGAAGTCTTTGCCATGGGTGAACATCTGAAACTAGTTTTTGACCAAGAATTTCGGAAGGCCTTCAACATCCAGGATTAGACTGGACAGATGTGCAACGTTGGCACCCACGCTCCTAGAATAATATCTATGTTTTTGTCCTCAATTTAAAATCAAACAAATCTTCCATCATTGTTTTTGTAGTGTACTTTTTCAGATTTTTTATTTTTGAAGTGTTCAATCAATTGTAGAGGATGATTCACCAAATACTGGACTTGATATTTTGGGATACATTTTTTGGCACAATGAGCACTATCACCTCCTGATGTGTTTATTTTACATTTCAAAGTGAAGTAACCATAACCATAGGTTGTTTTAAATCTGGCCAAAGCTTATTGTATTAGTTACATATTTAAAATTTAAGTTATTTTGGGGTATTTTGATGAAGTTAAAAGAATTTTACAATAAATATGATTTTAAACTGATTCGGTAAAAAGATTTGGATGTACCGTAACTGAAAAATATGTATTTCCAGTCTGTCAGCTCCGTGGTATGAAACATAAAGCTCACTAATAAAATGTTGTTTCCTGTGAAAATGTCGTGTGAATGCACACTGATTTATGCTGAAAGCTGCTAAGGTTTAATCACTGATCTGTTGATACAAATCAAATTTGAACAGCTGGAATTTGCTGAAAGAAGCAGAAATGTGTAGACAAAAGTAAACGGAGTAGAAATGAGCAGGATAAGATGAAACCGGCAGAGAGAGGCTGAAGAGATTACAAAAATATCTGAAATTGACATAAAGAAACTGAAATGATCAGACAAAATGTGTAGAAAAGTTGAAAGGAGAACAAAAGGCTGAATTTAGCAGAAGCTGAAATGAGATGAAAGTAGCTGAAGGATCCATCCAGTGGTGTAGTCTACATTTCTGTAGTGGGTGCACTGTGCTTAGAAACCAAAGTACACTGGTTAGTACAATGTAATGGTTAATTTATCTTGATTTTTAAGCATATTGAACATTTCCAAATTTCTCTGATGCTTTTATTTGAATAAATGAACAACTGTGCAACAGTTGGCTTTGTATTAAAAACGTAGATTTTTTTATGAAACACTATCAAAGCAAAGCGCAGCATACAGATAGATTGTTACAGATGTGGTTAACTGCTGTTTCATGTATCAGTGACACGTGTCTAATAATATGTCGTGTGTCATTGGGCACTTTTAAGTTGGTATACTGAAATTCTTAAGCTTTTCTAGTGGGTGTACTCCGTATGCACGAGTATCATGTAGACTACACCCCTGGATCCATCCACCATCTTTACCCGCTTCTTCCTTTTCGGGTCACAGGGGTCACTGGTGCCCATATCCAGCAGTCAATGAGAGGCAGGAGACACCCTGGACAGGTCTCCAGTCCATCACAGGGACACATGGAGACAAACGAGACAAACAGCCATTCACTCTCTCACACCTAGAGACAATTTAGAGTTACCAGTCAGTCTAACACAGGGGCTGTGGGCCAAATTCAATAATGTAGTACATGAAATGTAAATTCATCTTTAACCAAAGTCAGTTTATGTATTATACAGTTATTTAACCTTCCATTCTGTATAAAGAACATTACAGAACAGAAAATATAACAAGTCATATAAAAAATTAAATATTGAAATTTTGGCATTTCAGTAATTATACGTAGTTCAAAATGTCAAAAAAAATGCATGTCCTATTTATTTACCTTTATTTAATCAGGCAAATCCCACTGAGATCACAGATCTCTCTGCAAGGGGGGCCTGAAGGCATCCCAACATGCATGTTGTTCTGTGGGAGGAAACCGGACTACCTGGAGAAAACCCACACATGCACAGAGAGAACATGCAAATTCCACACAGAAAGACCCCAGGTCCAACCGGGGATTGAACCCAAGACCTTCTTGCTGTGAGGCAACAGTGCTAACCACTGAGCCATCATGCCTACAGCAACACTAATATGGGCATAATAAACAGTCCTATATATCCAGTAGTCACTGGGACGACTTTTCCATCTAACATTAAAGTCAGTGGGTGGGATGAAAAACATCGATTCTTCAAAGGGAATTATAATTATAGTAATACGGACCCGAAGAAAACCCACACAGCACGGAGAGAACATGCAAACTCCACACAGAAAGGCCTCCGGCTGGGATTTGAACCAGCGATCAGTTGGTAGAGCTGTTTCCTCTCAGAGAGAATGTCGCTGGATCAAGTCCCTTTCTGGGTCCTTCCTTCTGTCTTCCCTCAGACTGCAGTAGCTCTGCTGCTGCTGCTGCCACCTGCTGTTCAGAAGAAAAACCATGTGCAGTATCTGAAATGAAACCTGCTTCAGCAGAGGCTTCATATGAACCAAACACTAACAGGTCACATTAGCCCAGATGTTGAAGTCCAGATGTATCTTTCTGACAACATTTGGAATGTCAGAGGACTCAGAAACACACTTCTCTACAACCTTGAAATGAAAAGTTATTGTTGTCCCTCGATCCTTTTCTGTACGTGTGGAAGAGTTCTCCACAGCAGGAGAGATGAAATCACCAACATGCTGCAAAAACATCTGTTCCTCCATACACATGTTGTAAACTCTGCCGTCACCTAAACAACCGCACAAACACTTATGTCCTAAATTATTTTTACACACCCACACATCTAGATTTCAGGAGATGCAGGAACAGGTCCAACACTTATTTACATCACGGCAGAAGAAGTGGAGGTGGTTGAGACGTACACCTTGGGGTTCACCTGGACAACAGTCTGGACTGGAGATGTAACAGTGAAGCCATCAAGGTGCATGAAAGTTGAAATGTCTTTAAAACCCTGCACCTTATTGTCCTCGAGCTTTGTGAGAAACATTCTTTAGATGAGTAGTGTCGACCAAGTATAATGTAAAAGTCTAGTGATGTCTTTGATTTAGTTTATAAACACGAGTAGTACCTGACGCTGTGGGTTAACGTGCATGAAAGTTGAAATGTCTTTAAAAACCCACAGCTGAATTTCCACAGACTTGGTGAGAAACGTGTTTTAAAAGTGTGGAATTAAAGTAAAGAAATCTAGATGAAATGTTGCTTTTTTTGTAAACTGGTGACTTCTGATGCCGATGCATCAACATGTGTAGCCACATCTGTTTACACTGACGAAACATTTTTATGCATCGTCCCTTGCAAGTGAATATTTTCCAAGTGTGGTGAGGCTGTGAGCAACAAACAAACAAAAAATAACAGCTAAGTTCCCAGTCTTTGCACTGTTTTCCACAGGGACTCTGGATTTCTCCTCATTTCATTATTTCTAACGATGATGAAGAGTCTGTCACAAAAGTCCAAGTAGGTATCTCTGCAGGCAAATTCGGAAGGCGTACCTGGGCGATCATATCTGATTAGACTATATGAAAATGGGCGTGTCTGGCCGGCCGCATATGATTGGACGATAGAAAAATAGGCTGAACGATAAAATGCCGTAACCACAGACATGTGATGTCTAAAAACAAGGCGTTATTGGCAGATTGTGTTAACCACAGGCATATTATGTCTATGGTGTTAACCGGTTCAACATTAGCGGCGTCTCGGTTCTACATTGCTCCAGTATACTGCCGCGGCGTCTCCATAACTTCTTTTTTCGCCTCTCTTAACACAGAACTTCCGGTTACATTTCAAAATAAGAGCAACATAACTGGGTAGTGGGGAGAGCTAAATGTTAGGGTTTTTTTTAATACCTAGCCATAACATTAAAAAACAAATTCCATTTTGGTTGTTGAAAAATGTGAAAAAAGTTACAATAGATTCATAAAGAAAGAAAAATATAAATGATACTTAAACTGGCCTTGGGACAAAGAATGTTTCCTTTAACTTCACATTTTCTTGTTCAACTTGCCGTCACTACAGATGAGTGATTGTCAGTTTCTGTAAGATTTCTGCAACTGGAGCAGGTATTTCTGTTTACTGGTTAACTTCCTCAGCTGTCTCACATTTTAAAGGTCAACCTACTCCATGTTTCAGTAGAAAACAAGCACATTTAGGAGTCAGTACATAACCAGACTTTTGGCCCTCACACCTATACCCAGTTGCTTATGCTGCATGATGAGATCAGATTTATCCATATTTTAGAAATTAAATTTAACTTGGTCGACAAAACAATACAAATGAAGACTGTCTGTCTTTAAAAAAAACTCTTGGTTTTGCAGTAAGCAGCCTGATTTCAAACTGACATCTTGGCCAAAGGTAAAATAAAAATCTTTGTGTTCTCAGAAAAGTTGTTTCAGGACCTCCAATAAACTTATGTACACATCAAAGCACACAAGACAGATTCAGGAATTGTCTTTGTTTTCCAGATTTCACATTTGTTATTACCTTAAAACATACTCAGACAACATTTGATGTATCATTGAATTTTTTTATTGTGTTTATTGGGACATCCATTTTTAGAAGTCATCGTAGCATCTGTTGGAAACACAAAACATAGTACAGTTAGGGTTGTTGTATGTACATCTTATTCTCCACCCGAGTCTGCTGTTACCGTTTCAATCCTGCAGGAGTCAGTCAAGACATGCACTTCAGATATGACAAACGCACCTTCAAGTTTATGAATATTTAATAAGTAAAGAAACCCAGAAGTCATAGATTCACAAGCATAAACAGTGGATTAGTTAAATGCAGTCGTTATTTTAACATATTAAAAATTGGATGCAATCCATCCTACACTATACAATACAACCTTGTTAAGAGGAGATTGAAGTCGTTCTTCTCTGCTCCATCTGGCTGCTGCTGCGTCTCTGGCTGCTGGCTGCTCACTCTGTTTTGAGCAGAAACCTGCACTTTCTTTGTCTCAAATCTGGGCGTTCCTTCACACAGCAAAACTAACTTTTCAGCGCGCGTTCTGAGTCTGCTGTCATGGGATTGGTCAGTTTCAAACGAATCAGGAGTGTGAAACTTCGTGTTACATTAAGTAAACAGGAACAGACTTCAATCTGTGAGAGCCTCTTCAAAGTAAAACAGGAAGTGGGTCAATTTCAAAATAAAATAAGAATTGGGAGTCAGATTCAAAAAGGAATACAATATTATTTCACAACAATTCCCCCTTTCGACCTCATCCAAAGAGGTCGACATCAAACGGAAGAATATGCTTCTCTGCGCCGGCGTGGTTGCATCTCAAAATCAGAAAGTTCATAACCTCTGCGCATTAGAAGCTGACGAGCTA